GTGGTTAAATTACATAGTCTAATTAATTAAGCTAATTCTATTCTTTTTATCATAACTAATATGAGTTGTTTTCTTAATAATGAGAGAGTGCCTGTAGATGCCAATCGGGAGAAATGTGCTTAAATTTATTTATTAGGGACGATAAACTTGTAAATAATGTGGATGTCTGCTAGATTTATACATTAAAACATTAAACGACATTATGTTACATTTTTAATACGGCGCTTAGAGCAGCATGAAATTGTTATTAGAGTGGTAACTGGTAAGTGATATTTAGGAAATAACTAAAAAAATGAGAACGAAACTATCGAAAATAAAATAAAGTTTGGACACGTAATGCACGTCTATTTAAGATAAAATTCCCCTTAACTAATCCAAAATCGAACTTTCGTTTAGTATATTTAAGATACATGCAAGTTTAACGGTACGCTAAATTTTGACAAATAATCGTTCTGGAACTCGGAAGAAATTACGAAACTAATACAAATAACATAAGATGCTATTATGAATTTTGAGTTATACAAATCATGATTAATGGTGAATTTTGAATTTTGAGTTATACAAGTTTAACGGTGAATCTATAGAGACTAATTGCACCACTCTTGAATTATTTAAAATCAGTTTTGGATTATTAAACATTTACTTTTAACATATACAACTTATGATTAATGTCTCATTTATAATAAAATAATTTTCTTTTTAATATTACACACAATGACACAAATCAGTATATATTTAATTTTGTTTCGAAGAGAATACCGATCATTAACTTGAATTAATTAATTTATTATTATAAAATAAAAACGAGGATTAATTTGACCTTCTTTTTGCGCCGAATTAAAAAGAGGGATGGCTGTTGGCAGCTGGTTAGTGACAATTATTACTGTCATCTTTTCTTTCTCCCTTCACCATTGATGCTTTTTGGTGGTCTCTAGATGGTTCATGTCGACAATTGCGGTGGAAATTAATTTTTTTCTTCATTTTTCATTCATACTATAATTTTATTTACGGATGACATAAACTCATTTATCTCCAACTACTCTCTCTTACAAAATTGAATAAATTCACAAAAAGTTAGTTAAAGCTGCTTGCACATTTACTTGATTTTGAACGTCGTGTATAACTTTGGTCTAAAATGGAGAATTTTCTTTAAAATGTATGACTTCTAAAAGCAATTGTTTTTTAAAAAAA